ATCACAGTAAATCACAGAATTTGTCTTAACCACACGCAGAATTTAGTCTTAACCACCGCAGAAAATCATCGGCCCTGCACCAGTCATTGGAAACAAATGTCCGAATTGTCCTATTACTATCGCTATGCAATATTATCGGACATTGTCCAATCACAACTGTAACTACGCCTCATCAGATATTGGACATAATCACAAAGGACAACTTGGAAATGTCCGTTGTCCGGTAAAAAGCTACCGGATATATAACTTGTTCAACCACAAAATAAAGCCGATAAGCAAACGAAATTTCTTACAGTACACTGACTACTTTTTTATTTTAATTTATACTATATAGTATATTAATAATTGTAGGTAACGCTTATCATTATAGCTATTATTATTTTTCATTTTTGAAGTTTGGCAAAAACAATTTCGTCTTCAAATTTTAATTTTTTTAAAAAAACTATATTTAACTGGAGAGAAAATTTCTTTTCTTAACTATAATTAAAATTTAAGATTAGGGTGTAATTTTAGATAAAGCTTAGGGTCAGATATTAGAACCTCAATTTTAATTAGCATAAGGTTTTGAAGGGTTCTAAACAGTTTACTTAGTATGTTTGAGATATATTAGCTAGTACGTTTTTGAGATATAGCGTCCGGTGACCTTTCTCCTAGTGAACATTAGCAATACTTATTTTTTAATATATAGCGTCTAACCCATCTTTCCCACTTTTGACGTATCTTATTAGCGTTAGGCATAGAAATTTATTATAATGACGCATCCTCACTCGGGGATAGCGATAGTAGTTATTTCGGTTAAAATTTATTATTTAGAACTGTATTGTCATTGGACGAACTTATATTATAATCATGTGTCAAGTCATGTGCGTAGAAGTGGTTCTATAACTTTGTCTGAAGTTTCTTTTATATTATAGCAGTTGAAGGGAAAAATAAAGTAAATAAATAGTGAAATATGAACCTGCGCTATATTATTATTTAGTTTGGCAGGAGAGTTTGCACACTATGGTACCATCACTTAAATAAGCTTTTCTTCTCTAAGAGAGAATCACAAATTATTGCATGATGATCTTATAAGTTGGCAATTGCTCATGGATTAACGGACATAATTTACCCCCTAATCGTTAATCCATAACCTTTAAACTATCCGAACGAACATGTGACATTATCATGTGGTAAATCATATTCTTTAATAATTTCCATCGAAGTTTCTTCAATATTGTAACAGCTGTAGAAAAAAATAAAGTAAATAATTGATAAAGAAATAACCTACGCTATATTTTTATTTAGCCAACGGAAAAGTTCAGCAATGGTTTGTGGTAATATGGTTCAAATAAATTTTGCATTACTATGAAAAATCGTAAAAATCTGCATGACGATCTTTTAGTTTGGCAATTGCCTATTGGACTAATGGACATAATCCATGACCGTTATATAAAAGCGAGTACAACCGGGTAAAATTTACCACCCAAATCTTTTCAGATCATGTAATATAATTTTAATGTGTATCGTTTTATCATATTCTAACGTAAAAAATGACCAATGAAATGGTGCTTATTAGAATCATATCACATAATCTGAAATAATTTTAAGTGGTGAATTTTACCCGGTTATCCAGTACCGAAGGCTCTAATTGCGAATTTTATACAATACAGTACGAAATTATCTTTATATAGCATACTATATTTATGTATATTCATACTGTATCATATCACTTCAAAATTTTATAATATACAGTACTAAATTATCTTCTGTACAGTACTCTGTATATGTATATTCGTCAAAATTTAGGTGAAAATAAGCAGCTGTTATTTTTTCAAGTGTTCAGTAATTTTAATTATTTATTACATGAATTCGAACAATTTAATTTAAATGTTGTATCCGGAAAGTTTCCAGCCGTTTCATATTTTTATTAAATATTTTTACTATAAGTTTTTGCCGTGTAATGGTAATTATGCATAACTGTTACGACCAGTGGGAGAGACTTGTATCGGCAGAGCCAATTTAGCTTAGGGTCGTAAGCATTAATTAGGAGAAACCAATTATGTATTTACGCACCCCAGGCACCAGAAATTAATAAACCAATGTGTCCCAGACACTAACAGAACTAATATCCTTATCTAACTAACCAACCTAGTACGTTACAAACGCACTAAAACCAAAGACAAAATACAAAACTCAAGAAAGATCTAACTAAAGAAACTAAAGAACTAAAATACATAACGCTCTATATATATCTATCAACAAACTCTAAAATAAGCTATAGTCTATTTAAAGGCTAATTAAAGTATGCTTTATACTTCGCATAAACTACTAAAATATCACAAGCAAAGTTTAATTGTGAAACTTTGTTGCGTAACAATAACCTATAGATAACCTGATGACCCAGGTCACAGGTACCTAAATTCGACCAATCCGAATGCTTTAAGCGGACTGACGTTTTATAATTTTAGTATAGATAAGAAAAACAGAGTCGCGTTTATACCAAACTGACTTTTTTTTTACTAAAATGTCTAACACTTATTCGAACTACGATCTTTCAGTTTTAGTTGATTGTTTAAAACAAACGGGCCATCAGTCCTATAAAAGTTTTTTAATAAATGAACGAAATTACATTGTTGCAAATCCACCGTATTCCGACGCTTGGCGAAAACTCAAAAACCCTTCATTTTGTGTTCACCATGGAAAACTATGCCCAAACGAGGCTATATATTCAGATGAATTGGTGGGTTTTCTTTTTTTAACAAAGGGAGATTCTTCGGTTTTCCGATGTGTTAAATTTGGGAATTATCCTTAAAGCAATGGTAGCTCTCCTTCACACCGCTGTAACTTTGTTGTCAGGTATATTTGATAAAAGTTAACTAATTATGAGAGAGAAATTGGTTTTCTTTTATTATATGATACTAGACCTACAGATTTTCTAGGAGGAGTCTGTTACGTTACATTACATTTCGTTACGTTTTTTCTTCGACTATATAAAAAAGTAAACACACCACACTAATATAATATTATTTTTGTATTTTACAGCAAGAACAAGTTCTAGAACATTTTTGGGAAGGTATTATTCAAGAACATAAAATTGTAAGTATTTACATAACTAATAACTGTTTCATGATTAAAAGTATTTAATAATTGATTGATTTTAAAGAATGAATCTTGAGACTGATGAAGCCCAACGTAGGGATCTGATTTGAAATTTTAACAAATCTAGAAAGTCGCATTCAAACAAACAAACAAGTGATCAATGTCTTTGTAAATTATGACTGGATGATTCAAGAGGTACAGAAATTTTTTTTTTTTCTTTTTTTTAATAATGAAATTTGTTATTCATTTTCGTTACGTTTTCCCTTCGACTATATAAAAAAGTAAACACACCACACTAATATAATTATTATTTTGTATTTTACAGCAAGAACAAGTTCTAGAACATTTTTGGGAAGGCATTATTCAAGAATGTAAAATTGTAAGTATTTACATAACTAATAGCTATTTCATGATTAAAAGTATTTAATAATCGATTGATTTTTAGAGAATGAATATTGAGGCTGATGAAGCCCAACATAGGGATCTGATTCAAATTTTAACAAATCTAGAAAGTCGCATTCAAACAAACAAGTGATCAATGTTCTTGTAAATTATGACTGGATGATTCGAGAGGTACATTCTTGTTATTTAATAGGTATCGGTGAATACGGTGTATTTCATAGATTAATAGTAAACCACATGGCCGAAGGCCACGTGATTTTACTATTAACCTATAAAATACACCATATTCACCAATACCCATTAAATAACAGAATTATTTTATGTATACGATGTACAACCCTGCATTACGTAGTTCATTAAACTTCCTGGTATGTAATTTAAACTTTTTTTCTATTTAAATATTTTGATTTCTTATTTTAGTAATGGTTAAAACGAATAGATGGAAAGGATTACAAGGCCGAAAGTATTCATAATTGCTATGCTTCCGTGGCCTGTTATTTAAAAGAAAACAGTAAAATCAAACTGTGTAAGTTGTAGGATTCATACTATTTCAATAATGCATTGAGAATGCTTGATGGTAAAATGAAAAAACTGCAAAGCGAAGGTTTAGGAGAAACGGATCAAGCCTCACCATTAACCGTCAAAGAAATTTCTCAAATACTCAATCATGAAACAATGCAAGTTGAGACTAATGAAGGTTTGACACGACAAGTGTTTTTTTGGCTGTCGCTTCTTTGTGGTCTTCATGGTGGCAATGCTAAAAAAATAAAGTTCAAGGTGGGCTTTATCTCACGTTTAACTATGAAAAAACCAACCAGTGTAGAGCATTAAAACGAAACAAATATGAAAAAAGCTCTGCACGAAAGATTCCTATTCCTCCTGATCAAGTGAATAATTGCTTTAAACCAATTGAGGATATTTTATATTTGATATCTTTTCGTCCTGTGAATGCTTGTGATTTATTTTTCTTGGAAACAATATGGGCGACAAAGGGTTTAAAGCGCTTGTTATTTGATTTCTATTTTGAATATTACTTGATACTAATTTTTGAATATTACTTGATACTAATTTTATTTTTTATTTTCTATAGATATAAATAAAGGAATCTGGTTCAAGAAATCCCGAATGGAAACAAATAAGCTTAATACATTGATGTCGAAAATAGCAGAGCTTACCGGTATCAACTTTGAAAATGGCTTTAAAATTTGTAACCATTCACTATGTCATACTGCAATCCAACGGCTCAAGAACTTGAATGTCCCAGAAAACAAACATATAGTTTTTTCTGGACACCGCAGTAGGAAAGGAATTTGGGCCTATACTAACCCAAACGATAACCAAAGGCTTAGGAATACGTCAATGTTGATCTCCCTAGATTTTGACGATATTCCATATAAAGAGTTTAATTATTTTCCCAGAGATGCGAAAAACTATTTGGATTTTGAGAAGGAAGAGTATGACGAAGGTAATTTCATTTTTAATAAATTAAATTTTATTGTATATTTTAATTTTCTACATTAATATCTTTATTCTAGCACCTCACATAAAAAAAAAATTACTTAATCGACGATTGTCACAACTATTGTGTAAACCATCACCACAACCATCGCATGAACTATCGTTGGGACCATTGTATGAACTATCGCCGGGACAATTGCATGAACCATCACCGGGACAATTGCATGAATCATCGCCAGGACTATTGCCAGAAGTATTGTATAATCATTGCTAGGAACATTGCATGAAGCATCACCGGGAATGTTGCATGAAGCATTGTCGGGAACGTTGCATGAAGCATTGCTGGGAACGTTGCATGAAGCATCGCCAGGAACATTGCATAAATCATCTCTGGTACCATCAAAAAAATGACCACTATGGTCACAACATATTTTGAAAAAACTATATACACCATTTAAGCCGTCTTATAGAAAATCGCAAGACCAACCTTTGTGTGTTTCTCAAATACCACAAAGAAAATCATCACGTATTCCTAGACTTGCTTCCGCAGAAACTTCAGTACAATCAAGATCGGCTTTAAATGATGTTTCTAATCTTTTTTCACCTGTAACTTACCAAGACATTAAGGAGTTCAATGATAGTAATTCAAATGAAAAAGAAATT